GCCGTCAAGCCGCGCTCGCGAGGATGCCGGGATGATGCGGACGGAGGTCGCTTCGGATCCGCGGTCCTAGCTCCTTCCTTTGCAGGTCTTCCACGTTCGACAGCCGAGCAGCTCAACGGACTTCCTTCTGAAGAGACCTAGCTTCGCCACCGTGAAGATGCTTGACCATGAATTAGCTCTGACGGTCGGAAAGGTGTAACTTGGATTTTCTAGCTGAAAATAAGTTAGGGCAAGTGACTAATCAGGTTTGAAGAAAATATCTACGTGAAATAAAAACTGTTATAAAAAAGACTGCTTTTGTTTTCTCATTTAATGATTCATATTTAAAAAAAAGCTAAAGAATATTAGGGTAATTATTTCAAAATATATACCTGTGCCAAATCATCACACTGTACACCCTAAACTGGCACAGTGTTAATATGTCAAAATAAATTTCAATAAAAGCTGGAAAAAATAAATTTTTAAATGTAATTTAAAAAACCCCACCCCACTTCTGCTATAATATCAGCGTTTTATTATGTATTTTCCTACCTGGAGATTTGAGAGTTATGGGCAGTAGATATATAAAACTATAAATTGAAATCCTGGGAGAAGGAATCTTACTCCCAGTGTCATCACAGAAGAAGTGACCTTATGTTAAGTAGGTGAATTGAATACATGAATTTGATGAGTAAATAGTTTTGAATCAGCTTCTACCTACTGTGAGTATGCACATTGCTTTCCAAATCCAAATTCTTTAATAGCAATTCCCAAAAGGGACATACTGGAAAATGATGGACTGTAAAGGAAACTTCTCAAATAAATAAATGGTTTCTGAGTATACAGACAGACGCCAGATGGCCCATGGAGGAAGAAGAATTTCAAGATCCATGACTTTGAAACTGAAGTTGCCAATCTGCTGGCCTCCTCTGTTTCCGGAAGGGGCTGCCAGCAGATGTAAATGAAGTCGTTACCAGCATGGCAGCATTAAGATCCATACTCTCCTAAAACTGTGACCAGACTCATGACAAGTGTGCCGAGACTTAAGAACAGGCCCCAGGCATTCCTGCACCATCCAAAGTGATCAGAATATGAAAGGGACTTCAACCTTTACCAGGGCCTCACTTGCCTGAGCAGACAGTAGAAAAGGTGTTCTGATTATTTCTATTCTGCAGCCAGAGATTAAAAAAATAAATAAATATAGGAATAGAAACTTTAAGTAGCTTGCCAAGGCCACAGAGATTACAAGAAGAAGCGCTAAGAATTTGACCAAAATATGTAGCTTCTGATCCCAACTTCCCACCCTTCTCCACTCCTACTCAGGGTCCCTGGGAACCAGGAGCTCTTCCCATCCAACCCATCAATCAGCAGTCTAGGGGAAACACTGACAGCAAAGCTTGCTCAGAGAGTGCATTTAGAACCTTGAAAAAAGCCACAAGGGAAAAAGCAACTTGAATTCATTAGTCAGACATTTTTCCAGTGCCTATAACATGTCCCAGAAGCTGCATATTTTATTTCTAATTTTCAAAAGCAAATACAAATTAATGATTTAGATTAAATGTCTAATACTTTTTAAAAGCCTATATATGAGATATGCACTGTGTGTGTATGTGAATGTAATCTAAATAAATCACCACAGCATTCCTTTGAGGTAAATGTTCTTACGCCCATTTAATGGATAGATAGACTGACCCCAGAGAGTTTAATGAGTCCAGAGACACACACAGCAAGCCGGACTCGGAAGCCAGGTCAGCTGAGCTCTGAAATCCCTTTTCACGAGTCCTCAGGTCTCTGAAAGAGAAAAGTTGTCAGACTCTGTGTTGGCAAACCTCTGTGCTCAATTGTTCACTGGGAATCCATTTCAGATGGGTTATTAGGCACGGCAGTAACTGACGCTAATTAAAACCAAAAAGGTCAGTGCTGGTAAATTACTTGTGCTGGCATTAAGGATGGATTTTCACAAGCCAGAGACGAGACACAGCACACAAGGGACTGAGACTTGTGGGCAGGCGTCCTCGTGCAGTGCACAGCACTGATCACTGCACAGACATCAGCACTGGGGCCACTGCATGACCTTCCAAGACAAGAGCAGCCCCAGGTGAGGAGGGTTCAAGAGAACACAAAGCAGTACCCACAGTAAGAAGAGTGCACTTGTAGCATGCACAAGGTCCTGGGTTCAATCCCTGGTACCTCCATTAATAAATAAATAAATAAACCTAATTACCATGCCCCCAAGTAAATAAAAATAAAAATTAAATTAAATTAAAATGAAGTGCAGAGTAAGCTGGCCAGCATTCTACCCAATTCAGACACCACACCTGTTCACTGATGGCCGTGGCTGAGGTGTGTACATGTAGAGAGAAGGGAGATTCTAGAACTTTCTCCCATCACTCACAAAGGCGAATAAAGTCACAGAACCAACTACATGAGCGTCCAGGAAAAAAGGCTTTTTACTTTTTTTCTTTAATTGAGATATGTTGTACCCTTTAAATAAAATTTCTAATTTTATGAAAGACGTAATAGGTAACTGAATTTTTCTTCACTTCTTTGAGGTAGGAAGAGGGTGGTGGAGTTGAGTGTACCCTATAAAGTTCTTTTTCAATTTAAAATTAAAATCAGCATCTGATTTTGACCTAAGAATTTTAAAATTGAGGTGTAATTGACATAGAACACTGTATTAGTTTCCGGCATACAACCCAATGATTTGATGCTTGTGTGTATTGCAAAATGATCGCACAATGAATCTAGTTAACATCCACTAGTATGCAGGATTTTTCTTTCCTTTTTTCTTGTGATGAGAACTTTTAAGGTTTATCCTCTCAGCAAATTTTAAATTTGCAATACAATATTATTGATTGTAGTCACCATGCTGTAGACTGTACCCCAATGGTTTTTTTATCTTATAGCCAGAGATCTGTACCTTTTGAACCCCTTTCACTCCTGTCTCCTACTTCCCACCCCCATGCCTCTGGCAACTAACAGTCCGTTCTCTGTATCTATGAGCTCCCTTCTTCTTCTCCTTTTTTTTTTTTTTTAACTAACACCCTCTCGGTTCACTCCATTATTCAAAAAGTACGAACCAAAATTTTCCTTTTTT